GGGAACAGCTTGGCTTGGTGGGGACCCGTTCGTGCCCCCGGCTGTGGGGCTCGGTCAGCGGGAGCTGCTGGGAGCGGGGCTGGGGCCGAGGATGCTCCAAGGATGCCCTGGAGAGAGGAGGGATCCGAGTGGGCGAGTTCACAGCAGCGCGGAGGAAGCGCTGACCTTTCAGAAGCGATCTTCCTCGCCCGCTGTTATTTATTCAGCACTCCCAGGGCTCTGTGCCGCGCCTGCCGGAGCGCGGGGCTCGGGGATGCGGGGCTCGGGGATGCAGAGCGCGGAGCTCGGGGATGCGGGGCTCAAGGATGGTGGCTCAGGGATGCGGGGCTCGGGGATGCGGGGCTCAGGGGTGCAGGGCTCGGGGATGCGGGGCTCGGGGGTGCAGGGCTCGGGGATGCGGGGTTCGGGAATGCCCGGCGGGCCGAGCAGAGGCTGCAGCGCGGTGTTCACCCGCATCCACCTCCCGAGAACCGAGCCAAGCTGCCCAGCCAAGCCGCAGCAGCAGCCGGGCCGGGGCGGAGGCAGAGCTCCATCAGCCCCAGCCGCTCTTGGCTGCGGGGCCAGGGGGGTTTGACATCCCAGGGGAGAGGGGGCTTGGTGGAGAGCTGTTGTGGTGCACCAGTTTAGTTGTTCTCTTGCACTGGGTGGTTGGGAATTTGCACAGAATAGTTTTATATTGCAATGTATAGTTTATGTTACATCATGTGGTGTGTTACCCCGTTTCCCCATCACACGGTCTTTCCCTCACCTGTCCCGGTACCACCTGGTGGTCCCTCCCCTGGGTTACCCCTCCCCTCGGCGCTCCTCAGTGGTGTCCCATTGGCTGTGGACCTCTCCCTCTGTCCCCCTCCTGGGGTATAAAAGCTCCCTGCTGCCAGGGAAAACCCTCTTTTTTCTCCCATGGGTCTGTTCACCTGATGTGTGTCTTGAAATAAAGGACCACGTTTCCCACGTGGAGGAGAGCGCTTCTCAATCTTTTCCCTTTGTCTATGAAGAATCGTGTGCGCAGGGGTCTGTAGCTACTGGAGTGGACCCCAACAGCCCAGGAAACACGATTCTTCAGAGATGAAGGCTGGGCTGCCAGGACAGGCACCTGCCCTGTGCATCATCATCAGCCCCACATGGGCTGGAACCCCTTCCCTCCACAACACCTCTGCAGACACCCCAACCCTTTCTGTCATCACCCCAAAGCCTCTGCCAGCCCCTGATCCAAAGGGAGCCATGGCACAGGGAGGTTTGCATGGAGCAGGGAACAACCTCTGTCTCACTGGCCTCCCACTCAGCCACCACCATGAGGATTATTTTTAAATCAGGTTCCCCAAAGTGACAGGACCATTTCCAGGATCTGCTTCCTGCACTTTGCACCCTCTCTTCACCTCTCCACCTGGTGCAGATGTCAGCCAGTGCCCTGGCAGATGCAGGCCAGGGACTACATTTTACGTAGGTACATATAAAACATAAAAAAAAAAATTATTAAATCCTGAGTATAATCATAATTTGCTGGCTGCAGAGCCCCAAGTGGTGCACAGCTCTTGGCAGACAGATGGGGCATGGGTTTCCTAAGTTCAAAATAAATCAATTTATCTTCCCGTGCACTGCCTGGCTCTTAGTCCAGCCAATCCTCTACCAAGAAAACAATGAAAATAAGTGAAAGCATTTGTGGTTATTTACTTAAATATCCAAAGAAAGTAAATGAAAACCACAGTATTCTTTAGAAAAGTATCCTCAAACCAAATCCCTCTGCTGTATAAATATAAACTATAGCAATGTGGCAGAGCCCGATGATTATTTTATTTCAGGACCTGTTTGGAACATCAACCTTGAAACAACAGCGTAGTGGGGCAGTTTTCCAAAGCTTTCCCTTAAAGGAAGTACATTTATCAATTAATGAAAAGGATTTGTAATAAACAGCAGTGACAGTCCCACCTATTTTGGGCTGGGAATGCCCTGAGCAGCGAAGTCCTTGGGTGATCTCTTGGTGAGAGATGGGGATATTCGGCCAGAATGTATTTTTTGGTGGTTTGTTGCCCAAGCAGAGGGCGGTGGGTGCTCAGAGAGGGGCTGGCAGTGGCCCCCAGGCCAGTGGGGAGCAGAGGGGCTCCTGTCCAGGTTCGGGTGTCCGGAGCATCCCGGTGTCCTTGGTGCTGCACCCGGGGGTCCTGAGGGGGACTGGGCTGGGCTGGGGGCTGCAGACCATGTCCCCACCATGGGGACAGCTCCTGAGCTGGGGAAAGCCTGGTTTCCCAATCCTCCCCCTCGCTGGGATCCCAGCCTTTCCCTCCATCAACCTCCTCCTGCTGCTGGTCCTCTCCCCACCCTCCCTCTGCCCCCGGCTTTGCTCCCTCTCAAGAGCGCCTGGGAGAAGAGAAACCCGGCTGTAAATTAACCAGGAGGATTTTTCAGTCTGAGATGCGCTCTTCCCCCCTTTCTTTCTCCCCCCCCCCGCAGCGCTGTTATTTCATCTCGGCTGCCAAACTCCCGGGAATTAATCCCGGCCGGCGCTGACAGCGTTTACATTCAGCGCTGCTCAGATAAACCATATCAGCCTGCGCAGCTGAAGAGGAGCCGGGCGCGGAAGGAAGGGCTGCCTCCTGCTCAGTGTCAGCCCCTCTGGGCTGCCAGGGTGTTTTCCTGCCTTTTTTCTTCTCCCTGGGGGCTTTGCTCAGAGCGAGGAGCCACCAAAACCTCCCCCCCTGGTGAGGGTGGCCATGGTGGGGTCCATGTGGAGAAACCTGGCTCTTATCCTGGTGAAGGGACATGTCCTTCAAGCTGGTGGGAATCTGCAAGATTGTCACCCTGTGCCACCCCCACACCCACTTCTCCTTACTGCCAGCTTCCATGGGATGGGGTTTCCTAGGAATTTCAACAGCCATGTTAAAACCTGCAGTGCAGTCATTGCATGTTCTCTTTCTTAATCTCCCCCCCTGCAGCTGTGTTCCTGCCTGTCCCCCACAGTGGCCTCCCATCCCTCTCCTCAGCTGTCACCAGGTGCCAGCAGGACGGAGACACACGGTGCAGACGTGTCACCTCTGGTCCCACCCAGCACCAGGATGGTGGAGCCGCCATTCCCAGCTTGGGACAGGCCTTGGGCAGGAGCACTGGGCCCTGGAGTGGATGGAGAGCCTTTCCTGGAGCTGGAGCATGGCAAGTGGACTAGGAGCACACCCTGGGCCATGCCTGAGCTGTCAAATTCCTCCTTCCCTCCATCTCCCAGCCCACAAAACATCACTGGGGCCACCAGTGATCTCAGGGCTGGACCTCCACCAGCTCCCTTGGGCAGCTCCTGGAGAGCAGCACCCCCAGGCTGGGATATTTGGGAACAAAGTGGGTCTGGCACTCTGTGAGCAGAGGGCAGTGAGGGTGTGAGCCCATTGTCCCAGCCCCTGGGCCAGTTTTCTGGCATGGTGTGAGCTTCAGCCTCCTTTTCCAGCAGCACTTGCAGGGCTCTGGTGAGGCCACAGGGCCTGGGTCAGGGTGTGATCGTCACAGCCACCCTGACGTGACAGCATCTGGGGGTAAATATTAGTACGAAGTGAAGGGCTGTGTACATATTTTCTCCCTGCAAGGTAATGCTGAAATTCCCTGCTCCTTTTCAACAAGCTGTTAGGAAAAAAACAGCCCCATTTTAGCACCCTCTGGCCACTGCTGGTCCTGGCTACTCTCAGCTCAGCGTGCCAAGGTCTGGGAGCTCTGGGTGCCACTGCAGAGCTGAGTCCTGCTGCTCCAGGCTTCCCAGCCATCTCCCATCTGGAGCAGAGCAGTGTGCAGGCTTTGCTGACTGCTCACTTCTGCCTGGGAGCGTGTACAGGATGTGGCAGAGACTCTGAGGATGGCTTATTAATCACATTAACAGCACCAAGTGTTTTTTTGCCCCACAAGAAAAGAGACAGCAGGAGAAGATTGAGCCAGGCACTTATTCCCCTCCCCACATGAGTAGGCCTCTGGATCCCTTCTCTGTGGCCGTGGTGAAGCTGTAGGGAAATAAAAGGTTCCTCTTGCAAGGCCACCCTTCTAATTGTGGCCTGGGCACTCCAGAGTAGTTCAAGTGCCTGCCCATGCAAAACTGCACCACTCAGCTGCTGTTTTTTCCAACATGTAGGGCTGGAGAACAGCTTTGTTGCCCTCAGCCCAACAGGAGAAGTTGGCACCAGGCTCCCCAAGACCCTGAGCAACCTCCAAGGCACTAATCCCTGCCCTCTTCCTTCTCAGAACAGTGTTCCCCAGCTCAGTCCCAAACTGGGATTGCTCCCCTTAAAACTGTTTGTGGAAAGGTGCTGCTGTTTTCTACCACCCTGTGGGATGGGTTTTCCCACCCCTGGAAAGCTGTTCTGGATTCAGGGTAAAGAGGAGCACAAGGAACAGGATTGCTTGAATTTGCTTTCCAAGCCTTGGATCCCACAGCAATGGAGCTTATGGGAGCACAGCACGAGTCTGTCTGTCTGTCTGTCCATCCTCTGCCAACAACTTTGGGAAGGTTGGCCAGTGTCAGCTGAACTTGTGAGGACCTGTTTTGCAAATGAAGGAGCTGGAAAGACCCACGGGGGGAAACGACAAAGTGACCCAACCCTTCTGGACCCCCCTGCAATGTGATCCACCCTCAGCGAGAGGAGCAGGAGGGGCCACCAGGGACTGAGACGTGGAAAACTGGGCTGCTGCTGCTGCTCAGGGAGCTGGTTGTTGTTTTTACAGGCTGGGAACAGCCTCACAGTCCTCGGTGGTCGTGGCTGCTGCACGTTGTGGCCATCAGTGAGCTGATCCAGGGACAGACCCTGCTGGTTTGCACGAGTACCTGGAAGCCAAGTGAAGAGCCTGGAGGAGGAGCAAACCCTTCCTTCCCCACCTCTACCACCCTTGGTGGGCACATCCACTCCCTTTGCTGCTGCTTTCCTGCCCAAAACCTCCCTCAGAGTGAGCAGGAACCCTCAGACCCACACAGCCATGGGGCAGCCCCCAACACCCTCACCTTCCAGCCACCCCCTCAGAAAGAAACCAAGCAAAGCTGGAGGGGGTTTGATTGATTTATCCACTGAAGATACAAGTTTCAGTTTAATAACACCATTTTGTCCGGTTACAAACATACTAAAAACCTACAAAAAAAGAAAAAAACGAGTTACACCCATATACACGGAACGCAGGTATAAAACCAGCACGGAAGCGCCGAGGAACACGAACATGAACAGGATCTGCAGCAGGAACAGGAAAGACACGGAGTTACATCAGACCACGCTCATGTCTGTGGGTCACGCTGGGGCTGGGTCAGACATACCAACAATTAGAGACGACTTCAGCTATGGAAAATAACTGGCAGCCTGGCACAGAGGTCAGACCAGGCGGGTGGGTTTGGGCCTCCCTTTCCCTAAGCTGGTCCAAGGTCAGCGCGTGGGTTTCCCTTTTATCCCTCTGCCTGGCATTGGTGGTGCTGGCCCACACATCCCCACGCCAGGGCAGCAGGGGAGGCTGAGCTCTGGCACCAGAGTCCAGCCAGGTGAAATCTGGCTCCCCCTGAAGTCGCTGAGCATCCCCTGGGACAGCGGGGACACACTGTGACCTCTTTCCCGGGACAAAGGGGATGTGAGAGGACTCCCCTGGGACAGGGGATTTGTCACCCCCCAAGAGAAGATGAGGCTGGTGGCACGAGGCCCATAAGGGTTCTGGTGGTGTTGGGGGGTCTCTCTAGCTGGGTGTCTGCAGGGCTAAACCTGCCATGAATGTTGGCCATGGAGGGGGGACATGGTGGGTGGGATCTGTCCCCCTCCCAAACCAGTGCTCCCATTCCCCCAGTGCCCAGCTCCCTCTGACCAAACACCGAGCTGCAGGGGAGGGGACAAGAGCTGGCTGATGTGAGCAGGTGCTGCCAGGGAGAGCCAGCACGGGGTGCTCAAGGGGGACCCTGCCCCAGGGATACTGAACCCCTCCTCACTCAGCATTTCTCTACCTCTGGCAGGGGGCACAGAGGCTTTCCCACCTGGGTCACAGCTCCAAGCCCTGGTGATATTGCCAAGGCGTGGCAGAGCCAGGGGCTGGCTGGGTCTGGGGGGTGCAGGGGTCCTCCACAGGGACCAGCTGGCCCCCAAGATGTGCTGGCAGTGCTGCCCTGAGCCTCAGATTCTGTCCTGTGAGCTCTGGGGAAAGGACTTTGTGAGCCGGTCCCTACCTGCCGCCACCAAGGAGAGCAAGGCTCAGCCTAAGTGTGCCCTTAGCTCGGCCTAAGCGTGCCAGGAAGTGAAAGGTCAAGCCCCAGAGGGCAAGAGCTGAACAAAAGGGGGATAAAGGGGCCCCCAGTCAGCTGTGGTGGGGCTGGGGGGAGCAGTGATGGGGAATGGATGTGTGTGTGCCAGAGAGCCACGCACAGAGCCAGGACACGGCCCCCCTTTCTGCTCTTCCACGTGGCATTTATCAGCCCTGTCGCTCTGGAATGGTGCTTTTCCCTTACTCTGTTGATCTCCATCTCTCCCCAGATGAGAACATTCCTGGATTCCAGCAATGCCTCCTCTGCTGCTCCTTTCATCTCCATCTCCTCCCTCCCGAGCCTTGCCCCGGCCGCCCTCCTGCTCCATGTCACTTCCTAGGAAGCTGATAAAAATAAACGTGGTTTTGTTTGCATCTCTTGGAGCGGCCTGCAGTTTGGCTGATGGGGGGGTGCTCCTCAAGGGACAGCAGCTGCACACATCTGGATCTGTTTTAGGAAAGAGTGCTTGGAAAAAAACCCCAGCCCAGCACACACGCACGTGGGCGCAGGAGGCCACGGGTCAGCTTTTTCTAGGGATGTAAAAAAAAAAAGGAGAAACCAAAGCACTGTTTAATGGAAGGTGGGGGGACCTCCCTGCTGCTGCTCCCCAAAAACCAAGGCACACGGGTAGGTTGGGAACGAACATGGAGAATTTCCAGACACTCCAAAGTGGCTTCTCTGCAGACTGGGAGCCCAGTTTTGGTTGAGGGAAGGTGGGGAAGGGGAAAGGGTTTGCACTGCAAAAATAAAATTCCCACCTGGAGATTATTAACCTCAAAGGTTAATGTGCAAATTTTGTCTAAAGATGAAACATCCCTGTAGGGAAACATCCCTGGCCCAGCATCCACAGAGCACAGGGAGTGCATGAACCCCTCAGAAACTTGTGCTGCTGGCCTCTGGGCAGTCAGCTCGTGAGTGCCGTGATGTGCACACACACAAACATCCCCCAACAGTCTTGATCCAAGTGATCCCTCTCCAGTCCTGCCCTGGAGGGAAGTCGATGGCTGAACAGGCTTTTCCCATCCATCCCCACCCCAGGCAGCAGCAGCAGCTGTTTGAGGGATGCTGCACTGACCCCCGAGGGATGAGCAGCCATTGGCACCTTCACCCGTGCAGGCTGAATTTTGGGGATGCTGACTCTAACTGGCAGCCCGCCCCGTGAGCACAGCAGCATCACCTGTCACCCTGTGCCTGTCCCTCCCTTTCACAGCCCCCTGATCCTGCACGCTGCCACGCCAGGGCCAGCTGTGCCCAGCTGTTATTGCCACCCAGCTCTCGTGGGTGCCCAGGATGTGCCACTGCTCCTCTCCACCAGTGGTAGTGTGGGATGTGGGAAGGAAAGGACTGCAAGGCCAGCGTGGCTGCAGTGACATTATTGGAGTCCTGGGGCTCTTTTGAGACATCACAAACCTGTTCTGTTCCTGGGGACGGGGAAAAGCACAGGTGGGCAAAGCAGGAGTTTCTGTCTGTCTGTCTGCTCTGCAGGAGGGAGGTCAGCCTGGGGCAGTGTCCCCACAGTGCAGGGATGTCCCCAGGGTGGCTGTGGGGATCCCAGTTGGAACTCTGGGCTTGCTGCCTGTCCAGCTGGCATCCAGGAGAGGAGCTGGTGTCTCTCAGGAGGCTGCCAGCTCTCCAGGACAGCGGTGGAGCGAGGCCAGAGGAAATCTCAGAGGGGAACCCTCCTCCCACTTCCACAGATAACATTGCCCTTAATGCTCGAGCTCTAAAAATAGCAGAGGCCTTTAGGGAAATATTGGGTGGCAATGAGTCCAAAGCTTCCCAGCACATCTGACATTTCATCCTCAATCCTTTGCCATTCAGTTCCCAGAAATGTTATTAATCCAACCCCATGAGGGAAGGAGGCAATTGGGCTGCTCCTCCTCCCTTTTTCTTAACTGCAGGGGAAACTGAGGCACAAAGCAGGCAGACTGACCCAGAGGTTCAGGAGGAGTTGGTGTTGGAGGCGGGGTGAGTGCTCCAAGCCCTGCAGCCACGTTCTGGGGGGTGTGGGATTAGCCTTTGTCAGGCACAGGCAGGAGCACTGCTGTCCCCAGGAGGGACACAGCTCCTGCATGGGCTGAATTCCACCAGGCACTTTATTTGGAGGAGCCCAGTCTCACCACGAGGGCAGGAATCTGCTCTATACAAGGTATTTATCAATGTTTAACAGAGAAGGGACCTTTCCTCATAACCAGAAATCCCTCCTGATATGTCTGTGCCATCTTTCCTCCTCCTAGTCACAGCCTGACCCCCTTCTCACTGAGAGGGCAGAGCTGGGCAGGCAGACCTACCCACAGCAGCCCGAAGGGCACATCAAGAACCAGGCAAGCCCCTCCTCAGGGAGCTGCAGGGCAGTGGGTGGGCTCACCAGCTCCCCACGTGTGGCACAGGGATCCCACCCACACGCCATGCTCTGAGCCACGAGGGATCCCCCAAAGGCATCCCCCTCCTTCCACTCTCTCGTGCTGTGGGGGAGCTTCTCTCCCACCCCAGGAGGGGCTGCAGCAGCCAGCCAAGGACAGGGACTGTGGGTGACAGGAGGGGTGGGCTCTGCTGCCCACCTGGTGGTGGGCACCCCGGGTGGCTCTGGCTGTCAGCCCTGCCAGGTGACACCCAAAGTGCAAAGCAAAGTGTTCTCGGTGCCAGTCGGAGGTGTCCAGGCGTGCCCCCAAAAGGCAGGCTCAGCCAGGGGCCTCACGTGGAAAATGAGGGTTGTGTTGTTCCTCAGTGAACGGGGCAGCAGCGCTTGTGCAAGGGACTTTGAGATGGTGCAAGTGAGGTGCAGGATTTGGGAGGTGGTGATGGACAGGCCAGGACAGGAAGATGGAGCCAACAACCAAAGCTCTCCCCTCGCCCTCTGCATCCCCTTCCAGCATCCCCTGCAACTGCTTCACCCCGACCCACCCACACCCTTAACGGTTCTGTGGCTTTTTTTTTTTTTTTTTGGCTTATTTAGTTTGTTTTTAAACCCCGTGGAGATCAAATTGTGACTTGGCAGCTGACAGAACTGGCCCTACCGGGCTCCCCAAACCGAGCAAAGATCTTGAGAAGAGACCAGAGTGAAGTCCTGGGGGGAGCGAAGCCCTCCCTGCCCCTCTGGTGGCCCCCTGGGCGCTCACAGGGTGGCAGTGGGGTACTGAGCCCAGCCCACCTCCTTGTAGGCTGCTGTCACATGGGTGCAGATGAGGCTCTTCATCTTGCTCCAGGCTCCGTGTGCCTCCGGGGTGAAGTCGTTGGGGTATTCCTCAGCAATCACCTCCAGCATGACACCAGTGAGTTTCTGAGGGGAGGCAGACAGCAAGGAAGGGGTTAGGAACTCTCCAGGGAGCTGCTCCAAATTGAGCTTTTTCCTACAAAAACACTTGAATGCTGCTGGTCTGCAGGACAGAGATGTCCTGGAGGTCCCTTGACACCCCTGGGAGCAGGCAGGACAGGTAAGCAGCCTGCCCAGGCAGCAGAGGAGGCAGCTGCTTGCAGGTCCAGGCATCTCCCCAGTCTGGGCACCCCAAATTATTCACAGAATCATAGAATATTCCAGATTGGAAGGGACCCACAAGGATCATCAACTCTTGAGTGAATGGCCATGTGGGGATCAAAGCTGTGATCAAATCTTGGTGTTACTGCTCCCATCAGAAAGAAACCAAGCAGAGATGGAGGTGGGCTAATTAACCAACTTGAGTCTCTGCTATCATGCTTAATTTCCAGAAGAAGGGGGACACAGCCACAAACATGGGCACAGCCAGGTGGGATTCCCTGGGCAGGGGGAGGCACTGGGTGCTCTGGCACTGGCTGTGTGTGGGGATGTGGTGTCCACAGGACAGTGACACAGGGGGACACTCCAGGATGTGGGGAGCAGCCCCCACACCCAGCCAAGGACAGGCAGCACCAGCTCAGCACAGCTCCTGCTGCCCTGCCCTCTCCCTGAAGCAGCCCAAAGGTTATTTTGCTCCTATCCTTTACCTTAAAGTAGACAGGCTCCACTTTGTGCTTGAGGGCATGGGCCTTGCCCACCAGGGCCAGCACAGAGGAGACCTTTTCAGAGTCGTTGAGGTTCTCCACCACGGTGTTGATGGCCCCCATGACCCTCCGAGCGTGCTTGCGCAGCTGCAAGCTCCTCTCCATCTCCAGCGGGTCCTCCATGTGCTTGAACTGGCTGAAGTACTGCTTGGCCGAGGGGAAATTCACAAAAAACCTTCCAGAAAGAGCAGACGTGAAACGCCATCAGGAGGGGGAGAGCAGGCTGAGGGGTTAAAGCAGAGCACGGGGGATGGAGGTGGTGGAATCCACCCCGTGTCTCTCACAGCCAGGGCTGATTTTCCTATCAAATTCCCCAGGGGCTGCAGCATTTCAGCTGCCTGAAAACCAGCAGGTTGATGCCTCTTTCCCAAACCCCATCTGCTACAAGGTCATCACAGCTGGATAGTCACTCTCAAAGCAGAAGCAAGACTGAGTTCTTGATGCCCAGAGATGCCACCCAGGCGTGCCAGATGCTGGATATGTGCCCACATGTATCAAAACATCCCATCCTGCCTCAGAGAGCTGGGGATGAGCATGAAAACCTCTCCTTATCCCACCCAGCCTCTCCTTGCCGTTCTTGATGCCCAGAGATGCCACCCAGGCGTGCCAGATGCTGGATATGTGCCCACATATATCAAAACTTCCCATCCTGCCTCAGAGAGCTGGGGATGAGCATGAAAACCTCTCTTTATCCCACCCAGCCTCCTCTCCTTGCTCTCATGGGCTTTATTTCTGCATTGCCACCCAGAACAGTCTCCCCTCGTCCAAGCTGCCCCACCTTTCATGGATCAGCCCCACCAGAGTCTCCAGCAGGACCCAAGGCCTGAGCTGGTGTCACTGCTCATTTGGGACATTTTTCCCAGCACAAGGATATTCCAAAAACTCACCAACCCCTCTGGGAGGGGCCTGGGGACCCTCTTTTCTGCAGGATTAAATCAACCCAATCAAAAGCAGCTGAAAGAAATGAAATTGTGGCCACAGCTCATATGCTGGGCTCCCCAGGGAGGTGGAGGGCTGGAGGGGACAGGGAGTTGAAGGGCACAAGGTAACAGGGACCAAGGCTGGAGCCACCAATGCCAACACCACCCATGCCAGGATTGCAGCTGGGGCTGACACCTGAGTCACATTAACCACCCCCTTCCACCTCATTTATGCAGGAGAGAACCACGCCAGTGCTGGTTCCCCGCTGTCACCCAGCTCCCTCCCTGGCTCCTGGGCTGGTGAAGGATGCTCAGGAGGCAGCAGAGTGCTCCCAGGCTGTCCCCCATCCCTCCTGGCTCCAGGCAGACTCCCTGCTCCCCTCCCTGACCCCTTCCCAAACCACGGGAACCCGAACCCATCCCACCTCTCTCTCCAACCATCCCTCCTTCTCTCCAGAGCCAGGTGGGATCCTCTTCCCCACTCACCACTCCGTGAATAATCACAATATTGAGTACCAGGCTCCTTTAGCAGTTTGTTATCCTCCTTTCCCCCCCTCCCTCCCTTCCTTCCCCCGCTCCCTTGGCTGGTGAGAGCTTGGGGGCATTGCCAAGGAAGCGGCTGAAGCTGTGCCTGGAGTGCACCACCGCTCCTGCTGCTTCCCCAGGCAGCTGGGACTCATCAGATGGCCCAAAATAGGTTTTGGAGGTGTGAAGAATGTGTGGCAGAAAGGGTGGGGGAGGAAGGAAGGTGGAAGGGGGAGATGAGGTGTTGCTTTTCAAACCCAGAGGGGACCCACGACAAAACTCCTCTTGTTGTTGTGCAGCCTCCTCCCCCCAGCACAGCTCCTCCTGACACATCTGGTCGCTGTCGGGAGAAATCACTCCCAGGCCTGGCTGTCTGCAGCTCCTGCTGCCACAGAGATGCTCAGTCCTTCAGCCCAGAGCTGTCAGAGAGGTGCTGGGGGATGGAGCTGGCCAGGGCTTCACAGACAACATCATTTCCAGGATCTAAGACTTCTGCCCTGGGCATTTCCCCACAGAAGGGCAAGTGTTCCACTCTGGTTTAATTTTTTCCTGCTGGATTCAGCATTCTTCTGCCCTCAGCCCATCCCTCCCCACCTCTCTTCAAGCTGTTGCACTCCAGTCACCCAGCAAAGCCCTCCAGCTCCAGCAGGGATCAGAGCTATGGGTTTTACCATCCCTGCTAGTGGACCTTTCCCCTTCACAGGCTCCCCCCAGGCACTGGGAGCAAGGGATGTCACTGGGAGTGGGACCTGCTGCCCCAGCCAGGGAATGGAGGCTGCCAGCTGCTGGCCCCTGCATGCCTCAGCCTCTGAACCCCAAAGCACAGGAAGCTCCCTGAAAAGCTGTATTTTATCTCAGCTGAAGGGCAGGATATTCTCAAGGCATGGGAAAGGAGTTGAGAAAAATTCCTGGTCTGAACCAGGAAGGGAATAGCAATGGGGGACTGACCTCTGCATCATGAGGAGTCACAGTGTGCCCCCAGCAAGAGAAGGGCCAACAGAGACCCTGGCACCATCACCTGCACCTCTCCCCACTTTTGGACAGATATGCCAGCAGCAAAGACTGGTCAAACCCTCAAAATACCCCAACCTGTGTAAAACCAGACCAATGAAGGATCCAAATTCTTGGTTTCCAGTCTTTCCCTGCTTTGCAGGCCCTCAGGCTGATGCCCCTACGGGAGCTTTCCCAGGGGATGTAAAACCAGCAAACCCTCAGCTCCTGTGTTCAATCCTGTGTCTGCTGGATTTCTTTGGTGGAGAACTGAAACAGAGGAGCCCAAAACATCTTCAGGAGCAAACCTATGGATGGCCAGAGACCTGCAGCCACCTCTGCTTGGAGAGCAGCAGGCGCCTGCAGCAAGAACTTCAGCCTGGAGCAAATATTTGAGCTGTCAAACCACAAAGAAGAGGGAAGGAGGCTCACTCAGTGGTAGTTGTTAATAAACAGAGAAGATTAATTTAACACAAAGGTTAAATATAACCAGAGGAAAGGAAGAGGGAAAAAAAAGAAGAAATAAAATAATCCAACAATGGTGAGTTAGAAGAGGTGTCTGTTGGGGTTTTTCCATCTACAGAAAATTTTGAGAGTTCAAACCTCTTGAGATCTGGAAGTTTTTTGGATCATTATGTGTGCGTGTGTGTGGTTTGGGCTTTTTTTCTCCATCAGAGTCATTAAAAGATGATATTTACCATTGCCTATCACACAAAATGATGATTGATAGGGACCAGATGCCTGCATACCGATCTCATTAAATTTCTTTTTAAGCGATTCCATTCTCCACCCGCTAATTTGTACTCTGCCAGCGACATCTGGACCCAGAGGACAGGATGTCAGGATTGCTTTTCCTCTCTCTTTTGCCCTTGTAACAACTTTAAGGACACAACCATTCCCAGTAGCAGAGCCAAAGGAAATAATTAAGGTGCAAACCCACTGCAGTTACTGGAAACCTGTTTTCTGTTAGGAGGAGTGGCATCTCCTCCATCTCCGCCACCTTCCTCCCTCTCCCCAGAGCACACAGAGCAAATCCTGCATGGAGGAACCCTCCAAGCCCAGCGCCTCCTTGCCTCCCCAGCTGGAAAGAGGATACCTGGATGCTGCCTGGTCCCCCAGGCACCTAAACCCTTGCTACTTCACTTCCCCTGTTTGCAAACCGTGGGGTGAAAATGCTCACCTCAGATCTGCTGGGAGGCTTCAGCTTAAAGCCCAGCCAGCACTTGGAGACTGCCTTTTTTCCAGATTTCCACAATCATTTAGGTTGGAAGAGGCCTTTAGGATCACCAAGCCCAACTCTTAACCCAGCACCGCCAAGCCCACCACTAAAACACATCCCCAAGTGCCACATGTACACATCTCTTAAATCCCTCCAGGGTTGGTGACTCAACCTACCAATGCTTTCATGTTTTCTCTCGCCTCGTCCCTCTACGTGGGAGAAACTCTAAGGCAGCCTGGAGCCTCGGTGTCCCTTTCAAACCTCTCCTTCCAGCTCCTCTCTGGGGTGCCTACAAAGCAGCTGATAATGGGTAGGCAGGTGCTGTGTGCTGCTGCTATTTATTGTGCCGAGGGCTGGCTCACGGCTTTGCCTGCGTGTTCCCCCTGCTCCTCCCAGCCACCTGTAGCCCACCATCCCCTTTTCAGGCTGGGGAAAGGCTGCTGCCTGGGGGTTTACCCAGCCCAGGGTCAGGAAGGTCTCAGCCATGTCGATGCTACAGCTCAGCAAGGCAGAAAAAGGCAAATCTAAGGAGTAGGAAGAGGATGGTGCCTCCTTCCTCCCGTGTCCTCTCTCTGAAAGCTCCTGGACAGGTGGAGAGGGTGGTGGGAAGGGCCAAGCCCCCCATCCACACACTAATGCTAAATTCAGCTTTACAGCTGAGAGGAATGTGTAGCTGGCCTTCCTCCAGGTGAAGCTCACATCCCCTGCAAAGCCTTGGGAGCAGAACCCAGCACGATGCTGAACCGTGCTCGGGGGCTGTGATGCCCCAGTGCCCAAGGCACAGGGACCAGGACACCCAGTGGGGCTGGGAGTCGACTCCTCAGCAAAGATCCCACCAAACACATTTGGACAAGAGCTAGAAACCCCAGGGGCAGGTCCTGCTGACTTCCATGTGCACAGCTCACACCTCCAAGTCCTCGTTGCTGTTGTTTTTCCCTAGCACATCTGTGGATTCAGCCCGAAGCCTCCCTGGATGAACATTTATCCATGGGAGGAGTGAATTAACAGCACCAAAGTGGCTTTCCCACGTGGCTCTGGAGACCTACCTCCCTTGGAGCTGGAAGAAGACCCCTGGCTGGGTAGAGAGGTGGGTGAGACCCATCCACAAGGACGTGGTCCATGTTGCACTCAGGCTGAACCTGTGTGTGGCTGTGTGCCCACCACCAGCACCAGCTCTCCCTTGGTGATTCCAGCCTGCTCAGCTTGGGCAGGATGGGCAGCCAGCCGGCACTCAGCGTTCCCCAGGCACCCTGAGTGCCTGCCAGCCTGGCTGGGGCTGTCCTGACGTTTCCCTGCTGTTAATGAGCCCCGAAGCTCCTGCAGGCTCATTAACGTGGCCGTGGCCGGTGGCACCGCTGGGGCTTGGCCCTCCCTTTCCCTGCTGTTAATGAGCCCCGAAGCTCCTGCAGGCTCATTAACGTGGCTGGTGGCACCGCCGGGGCTTGGCCCTCCCCGCTGCTCTGCAGGGGAATTGCCACGGCTGGTACCGACCCATCCTCAGCCACAGCCAGGGAAAATGCCCGGGCACACTGCTCACCCTCTTTGCTTGCCTTGGTCACGGATATCCTTGTGGATCTCGGGGTGCTGAGTGGGATTTTTTACCCCCACGGGGCTTGCAAGTGATGCAAGGGCAGCACGGGGACTGGGGACACGGGGAAGGTTCTTTGGGTATGCCAAGAACTGCTGGCAGCACCAAGGTTGTGGCTGGTGTGGGATGTGCCACACACAGCTGCCTTGGCCATGGAGAAGCCAGGAGGGCTGGTCCTGGGAGCTGTGATCAGAAAATGCAGTGGTAGAAGAAGGGGCTGGTTTGAGCTTATCAAACCCTCACTCACCCCCTCAGTGCTCAGGGAGTGGTTGTTAGGCTGGGAAGTGTCCCTTAGCCTGTGCCAGCAGAGCAGAGCCCTGCTGCTCTCTGGCCCTCCACAAAAACATCTCCCCAGCTTGACCACAACCATTCACGAGCGTGGGACAGGGACACTGCTGCTGCTCTTCACTGGGCCCTTTTCAAAGAGAGATATTGCACCTCTCTGAGCCACTTTGCCCTGCAATGTGTCCTTCATCAGCCGGGAACGGAGCCTTTCCCTATGGACGCCTCCACAAAACACATGTTGGCTTTGGGGCTAGCTGCAAAATCACTTCTTTAAATGCCATTTTTGGGTAGATTCAACCCATACTTTTTTGATTCAGCTGGAAAAAAAAAATGGTTTTCTGCATTGCCAGACTCATTACTCAGATTTTTTGCTATTTTAACCTAGAACCCACAATAACGTCTGGCATCCAAGGAGTGCTTTCACATTTTAAAGCTCTTTGCAAAGTGTCTGAATCCAGGTGTGTTTGTTCAGACTAAGCAGCCGTCGAGACCCAGGGGCCTGATCCTGCCTTGGCAAACCTTTTCCTTCCCCTCCTACACCTCTTGAGGGGGAAAGAGCACATCAGGAGCGATGGAGAAGGCGGAAATTTGGAAAGCTGATGGCTCTGAAGTGCAGACAGAGGGAGCAGAGTGCTGGAGAAGCCCTGTGGAGGCGGCACAGCCTGCGGTGGCTGAGCCAGGTTGCGTTGCCTGCACTTGGCTTGGCATTACCATTTGGTCCAGATGCTCCTGGGATCTAATAGAAGCTATCCCTGGGTTTTAGCCCCTCTGGAATCCATAAAGTTTTGTGGTGTCACATCTGTGCCTGTGGTACGTGTGTGTGGGTGTGGGAGATGTCTGGGACAGGCTGAGCTTTCAGCCCTGGGCTGCTGGGCTGAGCTGGGCCCTGCAAAGGAGAGAGGGTCCCAAACCCCCTGTGACATTCACCCCAGGGTGCTCTCAGCCCCCGTGTGCTGCAGAGGGCTGAGCCACCCCCGGGTGTTTGCATCCCCAGCCCTGTGTCACAGAATTCCCAATAAACTATCAGAAGGAGAAAAGGGGGACCCTGGGGAGGGACAGGGCTGGAGGGCTCCTGCACCCAGTGAGGGATGATGCAGGCTCTGAAGGCTGCCCTGCTCCGTGCTGAGGGAGGGGTCAAAAAGGACTGATTCCTGGATAACAGATGGGGAAACTGAGGCACAGCAATGAGCCTGGGGCGTGGGGAGGCTACGGAGGAGCTTCAGCCCAGGGCTCTTGGGAATCACTCAGCCCCAGGTGAGCAGCTCAGCCCCAGCTCCTGCTCCAGCCCCAGCAAGGGTTAAGGCAGCTGTGAGATGTGAGATGGAGCCTGCAGAGGCCCCTGAGCTCCCGAGGAGGAAGATGAGCGTGGCGAGGAGACTCTGCTTCCTCCGGGGCGAGGCTCCCCGCCGAGGAAATTGTCAATTAGCGGCACAGTTTTAACCGCAGAGCGCACATTCCCAGGATCCGGGGGCTGCTCAGCCCTAGTCCCCATTATTGCTGTTTGTGTCCCCCGGGGTCCCAGAGCTCTGCGAGATCAGGGGCTCATCGTGCTAGGGCAGGACGCCGGGGGTTTGCTGTGGGTTCAAGCACCAGCAGCAGCCACGAGGGATGGGAAGATGATGCCCAGCTCTGTGCCTCAGTTTCCCCACCTGCAAAGCATGGAAAGGCTGGGGGTGGAAGGGTGGGATGCTGGTTAGGGACAAAGGGAGCTGGGCTGGGCTTCTGCAGGATGGCAGCATGGCAGGTCCCCCATCCCTGCCTTTTGGTGGGCATTGCCTCCAGCCTCAGAGCACAGCATCAGGCCCCAGAATAACTTCAGAAATCCTGCAACTCCCCCAGCCCTTCCTACATGGGAAAATGTAATTCCCTGTCCTCAGCAGCTCTGAAGGGATGGAGAGAGGATGAACAGGTAATCTCTAAAGAGACGGAGAGAGGATGGAACAAGGAGAGACCCTCTGCCCCCAGACACAGCCAAGCTGCTGGTCACAACCCCAGCCACAGAAGTGCTGACTTTTAAAAGAGATTTAGCTGCTCTCACCACTCTGCCCGTGGGGGCTGCACTAAAGGGGGCTCCACAGCCACGCACCCCCTTCCTTCTCCCTAGCCATACCTGTGCAAACCCTTTTCTGCCTCAGTTTCCCTAGCGAGGGGAGCAGGAGCACCAGGCTGGTGCTGGTGAAGCAGAGGCTGAACTGGAGCAGCTCCCAGGCACACGCTGTGTGCGTGCCCACCCAAAATGTGGGGTGGGTCAACCTCGCACCCACCCCACCAGCGGCCGCCCCCTGCCCAGCCCCGACCTCCGGAGCTGCTGAATCACGTCCTGGGCAGCGGCTCCAGGCATGACCCACTTCTGCCGCGGCTGCTCCAGCTGTGGGCACAGCTGGGTGCTCCAGCCCCAGGGCTGCCCTGCTTTTGGCCGCCTCGTGCTTCCCCGGGGGGCTCGGGTGCAGCTCAGAGCTCCCAGAGGGGCTCAGACCTCCCTGGGGACAGGGTTTGTGAGCAGGGGACACAAACCAGCAGGTCTGCTGCCTCTCCCAAATGGCATCGCTCTCCCCAGGGCCGTGCACAAGGCCAGACCCCACTCTGAGCATCCCGGGGAAGCTCTGGCTGAGGGAGCAGCTGGTGGGTTTAGCTGGGGTGTGCCAGGGCACGTGCCATGGCTAAGGATGTAAAGGCTCCCAAAGAGCCAGGGTTCACCCCAGCAGGCAATTCTGTCCTGCCTTGTCACAGCAGGAGAAAACCTTCACCACAGCGCACAACTCTGCCTGCATAAAAAAAAAACCAAAACAAAACCCCAAACTGGACCAAAAACTTCTGATGGGAAAGTTTGACTTGGGACCACAGCTCGGCCACCCAGTCCCCACACCACACCTTGATTCTCCTCATGTCCAGTCCTGCTCCAAGCACCATGGGGACTCCAAAAGCAATGAGCTGCCCTGGGTGAATCCCCCACGGCATTGCCACGAGTCCCTTGGTGCCACAGCCTCCCTGTGTCTGTGGGCAGTGGGCACCTGGAAGGGCTGGCAGTGGGGCCATGGCATGGCCCAGCTGCTGGGCAAGGGGCTGGGGTGGCCAAGCCGTGAGCTGAACCTCCTGGGAGGAGGCTGAGGGAACTCTTGTAACCCCCAGATCTCTGCCATTCCTGCTTCAAGCCCAGCCTAGGTAGGTTTGGTGTCCCCAGCCATGGAGCTGTCACAGCTCCTGACTGCCCTGGCTGCCTACACGGACTGGGGGCCACGGGAGAGCGAGCTCAGCCATCAGCTGGCTCTGAGAGAAGGAAATGTTTGTCAAGGAGGTGGAGAGGGGTCTCCAATGTCATTTTGCAATCTGCAGAGGGTTCTTGGTAAGAGAATCCCATTGCAGTGCTGGCAGCGAGCCTGGAGGGGAACGGGCTCTGCTCATTGTGGTGTCCAGGGAGGCTCTGCTCCCCGCAGACCCCGTGGGCTCAGAGCTTTAGCTCAGTCAACTGGAAAACTTTCAGATGATTCTAAGCAAACAGCACATCCTTCCAAGGAGTTCCCTGCACACCCACAGTCCCTGGTGCAGGAGAAAACGGCAAGGACACAACCCACACGTGGGGTTTGGTCCAGGTGGGGTCTGACCGGGGACATCCCAGCATTACTGACCCCAGGGATCAGCCGTGTGGCTCTGGGCAGGATCTTTGCTCTTTGCCAAAGGCCATTGCAGGCATCTCGCCTGCCCCTCTCCTTGCCCTCCTCAATAAGGGAAGCAGCCTGTTGGTGCCATACCCCACTGATGCCCCAAACTCCCAGTGCCACCCTGTGGGATTTCCACTTTCCCGGTGTACCTGGCTAGCTTTTACTCCCAGACAACACAAGAGCCCCCGCCTGCCTCTGCTCCCCTCCTCCCGAGCATCTCCCCTGCTCTGGCTGCAGGTGCAGGGCTCTGAGCTGCTGTCTGTGCCCCACTGCCATCGGGGGATGCTCCACACCCCCCCGCGCCCCCCACAGCCCCTTCCACCGCCAACTTCAGCGCTCTCCTTCCCGCCGACGCTGCCGCCGGAGGGACAGATGGTGCCCTCGGAGACACACCTGCTTGGGTTTTATCTTGGCTCCCAACTTGCATTATTTCACCCGGCAGCCTGCTACGGACCCGTGCCATCCGCACAGCGCTCCCTGGGGGGGGCCAAAACCCCGGAGCCCCAAGCCAGCCGCAGCCGGGGCTGAGCTCCCCCCGCTCCGCCGCCCCCCAGCCCCGGCTCGGGTTAAGGTGACCTTTGCATGGAAGCATCTTCCCCCCAAAGTCCCCGGCGAGGCTCCCTCGCTGCCCCCTCGCTGCCACCCGGCTCGAAGGTGTGGGAATCCGAGGAGCGCTGTGAATCCCTCCCTGCTCCCAGGCAGCAAATACACCCAGCCAGCTCCCCACTCGCTGTCATTCATCTCCACTCAGTTCTATATATTGTTCTGCCTCTTTCTGAGCTATATAGAGATTCGGTTGGATTTGCTGCTTCCTTTTTTTTTTTTTTTTGGTTTGTTTTTTAAATACCTGATGAGTATGGAGACCCCAACGTCCTCGCAGTTTGCATATACTCTGCTCCATATCTCTTGAATAACCTTTTTTTCTGCGTCTGAAATTTCTTCACTTCTTTCCCATCTCTCAATCTCCATTTCTCCCTGGACTTTCTCCATGAAAAACAGCCGGCAGGATCCTCCGGGAAGCCAGGAGGAGATAAAGAGAGATGTGTGTGAGCGGGTATATCCTGCAAGAGGAGACAAGGTGTTTGCTTGGCGGCTCTGCGACGTGTGGATGTGTGTGTGTGTGTGTGTGAGTGTGTGCGAGTGCAGCTGCCTGTCAGCGTGTTTAGATATGGAATTTAAAAAATATCCCGGAGGAATGATGCGTGCGATTAGATTTGAGATCTCCTAGTGCTGTCCATGGCTGTAGTTAGCTTCAGCTCGCCTCGGATGCGTGTGGCTGACTGATGAGGAACTGCCTAAAAGTAAAATATTCAAAGGCATTGCAAGACCAGCCTCTTCACCAATGTGTGAACGTGAGCTCACTTTCTCTCTCTCTCCTCCTCTCTCCCACTCCTCCCTCCTTCCCATTTTTTTTTTTTTTCGCCCTGAAAGGGAGGGATGAGAGAGATGTTCTGGGCAACATCAGGACGGGGCTGGCGGGGGGGAGGTAGTGCTGGAAGTTTTTTTTCCAGCCCTTTGTAAACAGCTCAGAGGAAATTCAGAGTGCTGAGTTAAAGTTAGCCCAAGCTCTGGCTGCGCCGAGCTCTGCCCCGGCTCTGCTCTTTGCACTCCCTGGTTTTGCAGGAGGTGATGTTTGGAAGGACAGACCCCTCACCTCTAATTCTTGGGCTGTGAAGAGATTCGGGTGCAGAGGGCTTCCCCACTGCCAGAATCTCTCTGCCCCCCAAAAGAGATCATGATCTGTCCCATAGGGACTTTTTCCATGCTGAGAATTTGCTCTCCCTTCTGGTGGCACGACCCAGCTGAGAGGGCTCCAGAGTTGAGGCGCTGGTGAAATGAAGGCATTGTTGTCGACTGCATCGCTCCTGGCAGCGCCTCGGCAGGGAACACCTCCACCCCAGGCTCCCGCCGCCTTCGTGGGAGTGCTTTTGGGGCTGCTGTGCGCCCAAATGCCATTCCCAAATGCTCGCTGGCAACCCGGCGTGTTAAACCCACAGCGCAGTCCGTTTGCAACAGAGGGCAGGAAAATCCTACGGGGACTTGTCATAACCCGAGTGCCCCGGGGGGATCGGAGACGAGCGGAGCTGCGGGTGTGCCCCGCAGCCGGGGCAGACAGACGGACAGACGGACAGACGGGCTGCGGGTGCCGCTCTGGCAGCCTGGGGGTGGCTGAGCCCCTTGAGGGGCTGGAGCTTTGTTATTGCAGAGCTGTCGAGGCTTTTTTGCTGTATTTCTCCTCCAAACCAGCCTCGGCCACCTCCCCATTAGCAGCCGCCAGACTGGTGGTGTCAGCAAATTTGCTCTTGCAGAGCTGATGAGAGCTGGTGGAGAACATGCTGCCCGCAGATCCCCCACTGTGGGTCCCCCAGGAACACGTGCTGGGACAGAACAGGGGCTCCACGCAGCCTTGAACCCCTTGGCTGGAGGGCAAAGCTCAGCTGGGAGCTGCTGAAGCCACCGGGGTGACCACAGAGCAGTGTGGCCAACCCGGCCCTGCCAGAGGTCAGGAATCGTTCAATAACAGCACCAGCAGCTGCTGAGCCAGCAGATTGTCACCAAGTTTGCATTTGGCTCCTGCCCATTAGCCACTGGGATGGACAGCCATGAGCCCCAGCCCAAACAATGTCCCCAGGTGGTCACCAGAGAAACCCCTCCGGACTGGGGATGGCACAGCTGAGCTTCTCACCTTCCCTGGGGAAGAGCTGCTTTAGACTTAGCTTAAACCCAGAGAGACCCAGCTTAAACCCAGCTTGAAACCTTAAAATTGCAATGCAGTGCAAGGGGAAAAAGTCCCCTTTCAGAAAGGGGAAAAAATCAAATACTGACCAATGTGAGCACTGGGGGCATAATCTGGGTCGGGTGTTGGTTATCACTGCTGTGTGTTTAAAGAAATGAAATCTTCAAGCTTTTGTACCTGGTGTCTTGGTCCACCCTGGCTCAGAGCCTGGCACGTGGTGCCTGGGTGCAGCAGGTTCTTTTCCTCACTCCCTGGCACCAGGAGTCAAAATGTCTGGGCTCAAAAGTCTCAATTTAGAAAAATTAAAATATTAGAAAACATTAGAAAAGTAAGTGAGAAATCCCCCAGCTTTTTCCAGATTTCTGCCTCCTTCCCTGGGCTCCTCACGTCTGGCCCTGGCAGGAGCCCAGCCCTGCCATCCTGCTCCACAAAAGGAGGTGGGGAGTGGGGCAGAGGTGATTCTCCACTGCCTCGAAATCCCAAAGGATCCCAACAGCCCTGCATTTCTGCGTCTGGTCCCAGACGTGGGACATAAATCAAGGGCAGGAGTGCAGGCACACGCTGTCACGTGCTGCCACCCGTTTCCATGGTTTCCCGTGACTGTTGCTCTCAAGGGCTTGGGGTTAGGAGGCGACTTGTTCCAGAAGGAGAGAGATGCTGCCTTGACACCCCTGCTGCCTGCTGGCCCCGAGGGGAGCTCAGCACGGTGCCTGCTGCTCAGACAGGGCACCCCAGGGAGGGGGACACAGCACTCAGTCCCCATGGCCAGTGCAGACACTGACATGGGGTCAGCCTGCAAAATCCATACTGAAGAAATCAATCCATCTCTCCCAGATCCTGATTCAGCACCCTGGTCCCTCTCCCCTCACCAGCTGAGCCTCACAGCCCTCCTGCTTTCCATCTCCTTCCTGTCGTCCTGTCCCCGTGGTGGGGTGACACTGTGGTGCCCTGTCCCTGCTGAGCCTGAGCCTGCTTCTCCCAGAGTTTCTGCACAGCAGGAAGAGATCAATTGCTTGTTCCAGCCATCCTCCATGCCAGCTGCAGAGGGTGAGGATGGGTGTCCAGGCCCTCCAAGCCTGTGGCATGCCATGTTCCTGAGGGGTCTGTACCCACCTGATGATGGCTGCTCCCACTCCTCCCGTGCCCTCCCACGTTGCCTCTCCTCCTCTCATGTGCTGGGTGCAATGAGAAATGTACTTGGCTCCTAATCCTTGAGTGGGAGGTAAAGGCAAAAAAACCCAAGACTTCAGCTCCACAGCGTGTGGGATGTGGAGGATGGCAGATCCCCACCTTTGACTTCTCCAGTGTCTCTGGGGTGAAGGCAGACACCTCAAATCCAGACCTTTGGGTCTGAGTCCACCCTTCCTGGTGCTTGGGGACAGCCTTGTCACTTGGTTCCTGGAGAATAACAGGCCACTTCTTGTGTCCCTTGCAGTGTCAGCTCCCTGGGGCCTTCTGACCATTACTTGGGGTGGTCCCAGGAAGACATCACATGAGATCCATCAGGGAATGCTATGGGAAGGAGCTGCAGGAGCTGCCCCAAGGCCTTGGAGCTGGGGAGATTCCAGGGCTGCAGCGAAGATCCCTTCTCCAGACCCTCAAGGCACCAGCCTGGCCAGAACAGGAGCAGTCCTGGGATTCTGAGTGGAATAAGGCACCAGTTCCTCCTTCATTCTCCTCCCAGAGCCATTCTGGGCTACTGACCTGGAGATGTTGGATTGTCACCCTGACCTTTGCTGAAGCAAAGCCTCTGGTTACCAGCCCAGCTCACCCAGCAATGCCCGGCTCTCTCTCCCCTTTCCTAATCCAGCCCTGCTGCTGACTGCAATGCCCCAGCCTGAAAAGGAATAACAAGACTTCAGGCAACAGCTTTGCAGTGCTGCTGCCCAGGGAGGGGAGGATTTAGCCTAAAGCCTGTACAAATGCTCTGTGCTTATTGCAGGTTTCCTTCCCCCAGCTTCTGTGATCCCAGGAGAGCCGTGTGCAGTGCTGATGCTCCAGCTGTGCTGGCAGTACCTGTGGTCACAGATCTCTGCAGGGTCAGGCTGGAGGATAAAGGGGCTGCAGGACCCCCACAGATACAGCTGGGATTGGATTGCTGCCTGAATCTCCATCCCGAGGTGGGGGTGATCCCAGTTTAATCACAGTCATTGTCCCCATTGCTGGAAGGCTTGGTCACAAATTTACCCAGAAAGACTGAGCTACTGGGAAACTGGGATTTCCCCAGTTCCATGTCTTCAGCTTGGCTGGGAGGAGATGTGCCAGGGAAGTGACAGTGAGGGAGCTGCTGTGCCCTCCCAGCCCTGTGACACCTGGGCTGTGGTGAGGAGCAGACATTCCTGGCTGATGGAATCCAGACTGCAGGCAGTGCTGCTGGAGCTGTGAGGAATGTGCTTAGAGCAAAGCAGCCCAGATGCTCCTTCCTGCACGGGAACAGGGCTCCTCTGCTCTGCGCTCCCAGACGAGCAAATGTGGCTTCATGCAGACTGAGGGGCCACCAGAGCAAACCTTCCAGTGGCACCCTGCCCAAGCCCCCAGCTCCCAGAGGCACCACAAGCCCTGTGGCCACTCCAGCCTCAGCTCACCCCCGTGTGTGGGAGCAGGAAGGTGTGGGACGCTGGGCACTGGGGCAGCACTGAGGTCATGCCTGGGAAGGGACCATGGGCTGAAGAGCCTTGGCAGCAGGCAGGGTGCAGGCACAACCTCCCCATGACCTTAAACCTTATGAGAGTTTTTCTGGTTTCCTTCCCCAGAAATCCCTACCAACCCACACAATCTAAAACCCCCCAAGGATTAGGAAATCCAGGGCAACAGGAAGAAAGGAGCCCTGAGAGAGGGGCTGGTGCTGCCCAGGGCTCTCTGTCAGCACAGGGCAGGGCAGGGTGAGACAACCCTGGAGAACAGTTCCAACCCAGATTAACCTGTTCCTGGACTGGGAATGTTGCAAAAACTCCCAGTTCCACACTGGGATTTGGAAGAAACAGAAACCTTGTGATGCAACTGGGAGAGATGAAGCAAGAGACACTCAGGAAGCAGATGACAGATCCAGCACCACAGGGCTTCATGAGCAAGGCATTAGCCAGCTGGTAACTTTCCCCAGCTCCTGAACAGCCCCCGGTGTCACCACTCTCCCCTTCACCCCCAGTGCCCAGCTCTGCCCCCCTGGAGCACAGCCCCTGTCACAGGCAGAGCCTTCAGTGGTGAGCAAGAGTGACAGGATTATTGGGAAACAAGCTGGCATTTCCAAACTGATTCTCTTTGCTGCTCTTTTCCTTCCTGGAGCTGGTCTGAGCATGGCAGGGGTTGCTCAGGAAAGCCAATAAGCTAATGTATTCATATCATCTCACATTTGGTGCCAGGACATGAAGTAAACACCATCAGGACTTCTCTCTGGTTCAAAGACAAGCCATGATTCTTATTCCGATCACATTATCCATGCTCCTTGTACAGCTTCATTGATTCATATCTTAAAACGAAAAGCCTTCAGAACCCATTGTCTGCCCCGTCATTCCAGCCCTGCTCCCAAGGGCCAGGGCAAGAAGCATTAACCAATCTGCTCACATTACCTTGCCTTTGAACCAAGCACCTCTCAGCATCAATCAAGAGGGTTTGGAGGTGATA